GTTGGGCACCACATATTTACAAGGGGGCAGGAGCCGCCAAGTGTAGGTTTAGGTGTGTTGTCATGGATCAGGCAGGAGGTGGAGAAGGACTTGGATTATGTGGATGGACTTCTGAGTAGCTGGGAATTTAGAAATAGAAATGGGAATGGGAGGGGCCAGGGAGATGGCTCAGTAGAATAAGCACTTCCCTGGCAAGTGCAAGGGTCTGAGTTTAATCCCTGGTTCCGCCAAAAAAAAGAAAGAAAGAAAAAGGAATGGGAATAGGGGATGGAAGAGGTAGAGATTTGGAAGACATCTACATAGGGGGTGCCTAAAAGTACTCCACAGGAATAGACAAGAGACCAGCGTGGCAGAGAGATTCAGCAAGGGTCCCATATTTGTGACAGAGGCCTCTTAAGCCTGACTTGGGCAGTAGATGAACTCTGCTGGTCGCTATGACAACTGAAGCAAGACTGGCCTAGGGTTCTCACAATGCAGTGCCCCCCTGTACTTACTTTCCGCATCTCCATCTCTCAGCCCAGTTTCCCCCCTTCAGCTTGGTCTCATTCTCTGGCAGTCTCTCTCCTCAAAGTAGGAAGCTGGCTAACAGCAGAGCCATCATTTATGCTGCCCTCAATGAATGGAATTTTTGAACTGAACGGTTTTGATCACGTTCTAGAACTGAATCTCACTGGGTTGCATGCCTCTTGCTGAAATATGATGGCCACAGGGCTCTCTATAATGCTCGGATTGGCCAATCCCATGTCATACACCCATTTGTGCAAAGGAGATGGAGTCACCTCTTCTAGAGCTACAGTAATGGAGAGCTGGGATAAGGGTTGCTCCAGGAGTACAGTTGTCAAAGGAGGGATGACGCTGGAATAGTGTCTGCTGGGTACCCCTCCTGTTAACAAGAGCAGCTGTGGCCAGAAACAGGGCTGGAGTTTTTTTTTTTTTTTTTTTTTTTTTTTTTTTTTGTACTGGGGATCCAACTCAGCATCTTGTGCTCACCTGGCAAGTGCTTATGCTGCTGAGCTGAGCTATCTCCCCAGGTAGGGCTGCAGTCTTGATTGGCAGCAAGGACAAGACAGATTGGGGTCAAGTAGTAGAACCACTCTGGTTAAAAAGGCCAGGGATGCAAGCAGGTGCAGGGGCCAGGGGTTCAATCCTAGTCTGCCGTGCTGGCCTGCCCCAGGGTGGGGTGTGCTGAGATGGCAACTGAGACTTGGCATAGTGGCCCAGGCGTGTAATCCCAGCTCTTGGGAGGCTGTAAACAGGCGGATTACTACAAGTCCCATCCAGTAGTGAGACCCTGAACACCCTGTAGACCCTTCCCTAAAATACAAAAAAGCCCCCAACCAACCAACCAAGCAAACAAAAAAGGCCAGGAAAGGGCTGAGGAGATAGCTCAGTGGTCTAAGCACCTGCCTGGCAAGTGCAAGCACCCGGGTTTGATTCCTGGTACTGGATGCCATGCTGGCCCCAGAACTGAATGCACCATGGTGGACACAGAAACCAGGTGTGGTGGTGCATGCCTGTAATCCCAGCGCTGGGGAGGCTGAGTCAGGACGATCACTATGAGTCCATGCTGTGTAGCAAGACCCTGTACCAAATAAATAAATAAATAAAGATTTTAAAAAACAAGTCCAAAGAAGGCCTTTCTGACAAAAGCCTGAACTAACAAAGTGCTTAATGAGTATTTGTCACCAGAATAAAAAGATGGGAAAGGTCAAACAGTTGGGTGATGCCCCATCAAGATACTGTTGCTGATGGAAAGGGCAGACGTTCTCTGGGGACATTCATGAGAATGTGAGAGGGTATGAAGGGAAGGGCACTGCCAACTGGCACGGTGGAGGGAGAAATGTGCCACTTTTCTTTCAAGTTGAGAATACTAAATCAATGGCTGAGTGTGGTAGTGCACACCTGTAATCCCAGCCTTTGGAGCCTGAGGGAAGAGGACTGTTGGGAGTTGAAGGCCAGCCTAAACTGCACAGCAAGACCCTGTCTTAAAAAGACAAGATAAAACAAAGCACAAGAATACAATTAAGATTATGCATTTTTACAATAGCAAAATATAGACAGTGGCCTTGGCTGGTGGTGTAGCTCATGGCAGAGCTCTTGCCTAGCATGTGCAAAGTCCTGGGTTTGATCTCCAGCACTGAAAAAAGATTTACACAGACCAAAGCAGCCTAAATTCCAACAGTAGGAGATTGTAGTACCCACACAGTAGAACTCAGCCTTTACAAATGATACTTTCTATGATATGGGAAAATGGTTACAAAGTAGTTTTAAGAGCTGAAGTGGATTAAGGATTTTTTTTTTTTTTTTTGTCTTTTTGAGATACGGTCTCACTTTGCAGTTCAGACTGGCCATGAACTCAATGATCCTCCTGCCTCAGCCTCTGTAGTACTGGGATTATAGGTGTGGATTATAAACCATGTCTGGTTTAAGGACTTATTTTTTTTTTTTTCTGCAACAAGTGTATGTATCCAAAGAAAAAAGCCTAGAAATGGACACCAGAATATTAACAGTTTGTTAGGGGTAGAAGTAGGACTGAGGCTTTTCTTCTGATTATGAAACTGTAGTGGCATAAGTCTCAGCTCTACCACTTCCTGGCTTGGTGACCTGGGACAAATCCTTTAATATCTTCAAGCACTATTTTTATTTTTCAGTACCGGGGATTGAACTCAGGACCCTGTGCTTGCCAAGCAAGAGTTTATTCTATTGAGCTATCTCCCTGGCCCTCAAGCACTATTTTGTGCATTCACAAAGTGAGGGTAATAGTTCTTAACCCAGAGAATGGTTGTATTAAATTAGCTACTACTATATACAAACTGTTAGTATCAAGTTTATAATAAACTAAAAAAGTAGCTATTCTTATATAATTAAAAAATCCAACAGTAAAGATGGCTATTAAATCAAATATATTAGAATGAAGGGTCTTTTTTCCCCATAATTTTATTGAGAGACAAATAGCAATGAGACAGTTTCAAATCAAATTGGTAGGACAGCTTCAATAATTAACACATTGCATACTCTCTTCCTAGTGGTTATTTGCTATACAAGATGCAGACATGATATCCTATTTACAAACACTACCTCAACAAATCCCTCTATTCATTAAGAGAATGTAACTATATATCTATCCTAACCATTTTGAATACACAGGTACAAAATGGACATTCATCTATATCCCCTTTTTGTTTAGTTCCCTCATTTGAATATTACAGGTGTGCTAACTCAGCAAAATATTCTAAAAGAGTCCAATAGTACATAATAGTAGTGGGTCTTCCGCTTGACTGGCAATATCAGAAATTGTTGACCTGAGTCCCCTAACGCTCAACATAACACCATGGCTTTACTTCTTTTTCTTTTCGTTTGTTTTTTGCAGAACTGGGAATTGAACTCAGGCCCTTGCACTTGCCAGGCAAGCGCTTATTCTACTGAGCCATCTTCCTGGTCCCTGGCTTTACTTCTTCTTTTTTAAATTTTTTTAAATTTTTATTTATTTATTTCTGTGCGTGTGTGTGTGTGTGTGTGTGTGTGTGTGTATGTGTGGCCAGCTTAGCCCACCAGGGCGGGGCTGGCTGGCATGTGGTGCTGGGGGATTGAACCATAGTCCCTGTGCTTTGCTAAGCTTGTTCTAAGTAGGTGCTTTAGACCACTGAGCCATCTCACCAGCCCCGCTGGCTTTACTTCTTATACTTCGTTTTTATACTTTTCTGCTGGATGGTTAAGACCAAGAAAAATCAAGACCTATGCAACAAGAGTTGTAGCATTCGGATCTGATAAGGTCAGTCAAATCCCTACAGGATTTATAGAATGAAGTGTCTTTCATGGCCAAATAACATGGTAGTAATTAGTAAGTACACTTTTTTTTGTTCTCTTTTTTTTTTTTTTGAGACATGGTTTCTCTATGCAGTTCAGGCTGGCCTTGAACTCACTCTGTAGCCCAGGCTGGTCTCGAACTCACAACAATCCTCCTGCCTCAGCATCCTGAGTGCTGGGATTACAGGTATGTGCCACCACACCCAGCAAGATACATTATTATTATTATTATTATTATTATTATTATTATTATTAGTTTCTTTTTTTGGCAGAACCGGGGATTGAACTCAGGCCCTTGCGCTTGCCAGGGAAGCGCTTATTCCACTGAGCCATCTCCCTGGCCCAAGATAAATTATTTTTGCCCAACATTAGGAAGCTCTTGAGAATAAGACAGGGAAGATCCCTATTTTCCTGCAGCTTTCACACTGTTAGGAAAGATTAAGGTAGACTAAGAATAGGTAGATGCTGTGAAGATAGGTCGATCAACAAAAGCAGTGAGGAGTGATAGCCAAAGGTCTGGAGAAGAGAAGGCAGACAAAGCAACTGTAAATGCAAGGTCTTGTCCTGGAGCAAGTATTTAAGCTAAAAGAAAACCCACGTGGCTGCTGCCAGTGACAATGATGTAGAAAGAGCCCCATTCAGCTCTTTTTTTTTTTTTTTTGTTATGATTTTTTTTTTAATTTTTATTTATTTATTTATTTATTTATTTATTTATTTATCTATTTATTTATTTATTTATGGTGGAACCGGGGATTGAACTCAGGCCCTTGCCCTTGCCAGGGAAGTGCTTATTCCACTGAGCCATCTCCCCGGCTCCCTGCCATTGAGCTCTTATACCAAGAGTACCAAACAGGCCTGGAGCCTCAGGAAGTATTCTTGTAGCTTGTGATCTCCAGCAAGAGAAGCAAAAAAGGGATCATAATATTTGATTCACAAGGTTACAAGCATCAAAGTAAACGTTTGCGGCAGCATTTCGCACACCTCTGTTCATAATATTAGAAACACTGTTACTGGAATAGAGGTGGAGAGTACAACCTGCAGCCTTACGAGGGGCGCGAACGTGCGCGTGCGCGTGTGCGTGCGCGCCAGGCAGGCTGAGCCAGGCCCCAGGGAAAATTCAGGTCGGCCCCGCCCCGCCCCAGCTCTTTTCTTTTCGTCCCTCCCACTTCCGCGATGACCCAACTGTACGTCTCTTGCGTGTTGACGTCAGGCGCGTGCCCCTGTCCGGCCGCCGAGGAGACCCCGCGCACTGCTGCCAACGCCCGGGTGGAGGAGCTGAGGTGAGTGAGGGGCCTGAGGCTCCCCTCAGGAGTGACTCCCCCACTGTCCTGCCCCTGTTGCGCGGTCTCAGGCTTCTTTCCGACCTCGAGGGCACTTCCTTTCCGGGCCCTGCGGGTCTGGAAGCGTGGAACGCCGGGAAGCGTCGGGCTCGTGTGCGCCCTGGGCGAGCGCGGGTCCCGCCTCTGAAGGAGGTCTGGGGAAGGGTCGCGGCGGGAACTGTGGGGGGTGCACGCCCGCGAGACGCGCGCGGCCGGACTCGGGGTGCCGTCCTGAGGGCGCGGTCTGTTCGGGCTGTCACCGGGGAGCGGCGGAAGGAAGGGGTCACACCCATCCCACCGCCGGGTCCTCTCTCCCCTTGGCGAGCCAGGGCCGGGTCGCCGGGGGTCGGGGCCGCGGAGCCACTCACGGTCGCGAGGAAGGACTGGAGCCGGTCGCCGCAGCCCGGAGAAGGCTGGGCTGTGGCCACCGCGCCCTAGCTCCGACTTCCTGCTTCGCGGGGCGCCGCCGCGGACATTTTGCGGCGGGCGGGGGAGGGGAGCGGAATTACCACAGGGGAGGGGAAGTGGTCGCAGGGAGGGGGCCGCGCTGGCCACTGTGGAGGGCCTGCGCCCCGCGACCCCCAGAGGCCCCAAGTCCGGCGCCTGGCGCGCGGCGTGGGTCTGAGCCTGGGGCGCCAGTCCTCGCGGTTCTTGCTCTGGGTTGAGTTCCACCAATTTCCGTTTGCTTCTCCAACTCGCCCTGCTTATTCAGCTGAAGCTTCTTTTTCAGGGAGTTACCTAACCACTTCGCGAAACCTTCTTTTGGCCGCTTGCTTAATTCCTCTTACTGGGGGAAAATTTTCTTTGTTCTTTTTTTTTTTTTAACCCTTCCCTTTAAGTCCAAGAAATGCAGTGTTGAAGATTACGTCATCGCAGTATAAGGGGCGAGTTTTTAACTCTTGCAAGTCAGGGACTCACCAAATTAAAACAGCATTTTGCAGCCCTAGTCGGTCACCCAGTGGCTTATCTTGCTGCTTTATAACACATCCCACGTTCAGAGATTTTTTTTTTTTGAAATCCTGTTACCTGTGTACATGGCTTTTTCTAAGGTATCTAAAAGGCGAGAAGGTTTAAAGTCGCACAGTTAGTTTGTGCCAGAAAGTGTGGCATGATACAACACCCATATCCACTTGGGTGGGAATTAACTTTAAAGGTCCTCTTGGCTGCGTTTGAGTGAACTTAATTGTGTGGAACAATTCTTAGGTCCAAACTGACTTTCCCAGACTGTTTTGACCTCTCCTTTATGACTTAGTTGATGTAGAGAACCTCCACAAGTTGTTCTCCGATGCTATTTGTGTCAAGGATGTGTTGAAAAAAAGAATCAGCCTAATCTGTTTGCTGGATGCTTTAGTTTTGTCACTAACGACTAAGGACCAATTTTGGATGTGTGTGTGTGTGTGAGAGTGTGTGTGAGTGTGAGAACCACTGACCTCATGCAGATTAGGCAACCACTGATAATAAATGCCCAACTCAGTTTTGGGCCTTTTAACCAAAAAAAAAAAAAGGAATATTTTCGAACATTTGGAATCACAGTGTTTATTTCCCAGAAGGTTAGATACATTTTCTATTGACTACAGAGTACCTTAGTATAGAAAATCTGAACATGGTGAAGGTAACAAGATCCAATTGTGTAATGCATCCTTACAAGGGTAGTTCATGTTGGAACAAGTATTCTCCCATTGTTGCTTATTTGTACAAAGAATAGATTGCTTGTTAATCACCTAAAGGAGTGCTAGGTTTAAATGGCTTTCTGTAGTATGTAGGTGTTATTGACTGGATAGATGTGGACTTGGATCTTCTGAAGTATATATTAGCCTTAATGTGGCATTTTAGTAATGTAAAATCAGAACTTACTGTATTTCTTGAATCTTCTGTGTGATATATATATATATAAAACACCAACTTGTATCTTGAAATAAAGGACAGTATGAGTTTAATGGTGTTTAGACAGACACAAGGAGATAAATTCATATTAGTGAAGTATTAAAATTGAGTTCCTTTACACTAGTATTTTTCAAGGCATGAAAAGTATCATAATTCTTTATTCCTTAAACATATTATGACCAACACCTGTACTTAGTAAACTTGATTCTTTAGGAACCTTAGTCAGAATTTAGAGCCTGGAGTAGTATGTGGACTTTCACATAGTGTGTGAGATTGTTAATTTGGGTGGTGTTGGTGATTGAACCCAAGGCCTTGCATAGGATTTGCAAGTACTCTACTACTGAGCCACCTTCTTAAGTGAGATTCTTAAAATCCACCAAGACCAAATCTTGACTTTTAAAAGAAACATTTACTTGGTACATGACCTTGCTGTGCAGCTTGGACTCATAGTGATCATCTCGTCTTAACCTCCCCAGTGCTGGGATTACAGACATATGCCAACCCACCTTGTTTCAGAGGCCAGCACAGGGCAGTGCCAGCATGGATTGAGCCCTGGTCCTTATGCTTGCCGGCAGGTGCTTAGACTGCCAAACTGTTTGGTCCCTCCCCCCCTTTTTAAAATTTTGAGGCAGAGCCCTATTAAGTTGTCCTTGGACTCAGTATTCTCTTGCCTCAGCCGCCTGAGTAGATGAAATTAAGGTGTGTGCCATGCCTGGCTTCCACTTGTAATTTTAAACTTTCCAGCTGTTTATTTAGTCTTTTTGAGACAGGATCTCACTGTACAGTTCAGGCTGGCCTTGAGCTCACTTTGTAGACCAGGCTGGTCTTGAATTCACAATAATCCTCCTGCCTGAATCTCCTAAGTGCTGGAATTACAGGTGTGCATCACCATGCCTGACCTTTCTAGTTATTTTTAAGATGGTTACACTAGTAAATATTTTTAGCTAAGAGCTGTCAAGCTTGGAAAATTTTGAGGTATAATTTTATTTACTTTGCCTGTTTAGGAAGCAGTATTGACAGCCATTCTTGGAAGTAAAAGTCAAATTATACTTCAAGATATAGATAGATCAATCTCAGTATCTGTCTGTCTATCTAGATCTGTCTATTTTTGGTACTGGAAATCCAACTCAGGGTCTTGAGCTTGCCAATCAGGCACTGTGCCACAGAGCTGTATCCTTCGTCCTAAGATATATTTTAAATCTATTCATCATATTTTAATTTTTTTAAGATAAGCAGTAGTTAATAATCACTTTAGACTACAGGACTTCCTCTGAAGGGAGGAGGGAAGTGTTGATATTTTGTTCACTTCCCATAAAGTGTGACATGTCTGTGTTGAAGGACTCCTGGCGTTTATGATAAGGCCTGTTTAATGTTCTCTTTGTTTGGGTATCAGGAATAGAACCCAGGACCTCACCCTTGCCAGGCAGATGCCTACCACTGAGTTATATCCCTGGCTTAGTGTTCTCTTATAAATGTTTGTTTGTTGTTGCTTTCTTCTATTAGAGCAACTTCTGCAAGGGCAAGGTTTTAGTCTTGTATGATCCTCTCTATATTCCTAGTATCAAACATACTGCCAAACACAGAAGGTTTGAAAAATGTTTTCCAAATGTATTTGATGATGTTTGAGGATAAACATTTTCCCTGTCTTCATGTTCCATAGGTCTCTTCACACTGTTTCCTGAGACAAATGTGCTTGGTCAGCCATATCCATATTTGGGTTCATCGAAGTGATGATTACCAGTCTCCTCTTGCTTGACCTTACACATATATCCAGTCCTGCATTTTCTGCAGCTACACTATCTGGACAATTTGCCGTCCCTTAGAAAATCATCTGATGAGCCAAACATGTGGCACACACCTGTAATCAGGAGGCTGAGGCAGGAGGATTGCCACATGAAGGAAAGCCAGCTTAGGCTACATAGTGAGTTCAAGGCTGGCCTGAACTATATCTCAAAGCCCTATCTCCAAAAACAACAAGAAAAAAAATCTGATGATGATTAGTCCCCAACCCCTTTTGGGGATTGAATGCAGGGTTTCCTTAAGTAGCCCAGGTAGGGCTTCAATTTAAGATCCTCCTACATCAGCCTCCCAGGGTTCTGGGGTTACAGGATGTGACACCACACCCAGCTTGGAGATTGTTTTCTCCTAAAAATTATTTAAAGTTAATATTTATTTCTCTATCTTTTGTTTTCAAATAGCATCTTATTTTTGCCACTTCTATCCCTTTACAGTATCAAATGCCAGTCATATTAAGCTTTGTCCCTTGTGAGTTTGTTTTTATTTTTTATTTATTTATTTATTTTTTTAAATTTTTTATTTATGTGTGTGTGTGTGGCCAGCTCAGCCCACCAGGGGGCGGGGCTGGCTGGCATATGGTGCTGGGGATTGAACCATGGTCACTGTGCTTTGCTAAGCTTGTTCCAAGTGGGTGCTTTAGACCACTGAGCCATCTCACCAGCCCCGTGAGTTTGTTTTTAGTTTTACTTTCAGGTACTCATTTCTTCAGTGCAAAATATTTTTACCAAAGCAGTTTTTATTAATGCCAGTTCAGCTGTGTCCGCCATTTGTATAAGCCTGGATGTTGGATTCTTTACTAGTTGCTCTTGGGACATTGGTCTCAAACTACTTATTTTGTAAAGTGAAACCAAGTGTTCTGCCACAAAAATGGTGTCCCCTTTTGCAATTTGGGAAAAAATATTTGACCTTGGAATTAGCTTTTTTTTTTTTTCCTGTGGGACCGGAGATTGAACTTGAGACCCTGTGCTTGCCAGGCAAGCGCTTATTCTACTGAGCTATCGCCCCGGCCCCAGCTTTTTTTTTAAACTTTTTTTTTTTTTTTTTTTTTTTTTTTTAGACAGGGTCTTGCTATGTAATTCAGGGTGGCCTTGAACTCACAGGCATGGAATTTGCTATTATGTTAAAGTGTTGATGCTTTGCCATCTAAAGAGAGTGTCTGACTTGATACTGTTGCTTACTTTTGTTAACATCTTATACTTTTAATAACACCTTTTTTTAGATGTAAGCTACATGTTTTTGTGTCCTGTAGAAATTCATCTGTGTATTGAGCAGTACACAGT